GGGAGACAGCCTGTACGTCATCATTGACAGCACTGGCAGAGAAAACACAGTCTGCTGTAACTCACAGTGCAGGGAAAGCTTCACAAGCAGTAGGTCAACACCCTGATGGGCCAGGAGAAGGGAAGGAGGACACATTTCAGGTCCAGAATTGACAGAGGTTGAAGAAAACTACACTATTTTGCCAAAAGTATTGGGGCGCCTGCCTTTACATGCACATGATGGCATTCCGGTCTTAGTCCGTAGGATTCAATATTAAGTTGGCCCACGCTTTGCAGCTATAACAGCTTCAACTCTTCTGGGAAGGCTGTCCACAAGGTTTAGGAGTGTGTCTATGAGAATGTTTGACCATTCTTCCAGAAAAGCATTTGTGAGGTCAGGCACTGATGTTGGACGAGAACGCCTGGCTCACAGTCTCCACTCTACTTCATCCCAAAGGTGTTCTATCGGGTTGATATCTTGACTCTGCGCCGGCTAGTCAAGTTCCTCCACCCCAAACTCATTCATCCATGTCTTTATGGACCTTGCTTTGTGCACTGGTGCACAGTCATGTTGGAACAGGAAGGGGCCATCCCCAAACTGTTCCCACAAAGCTGGGAGCATGAAATTCTCCAAAATGTCTTGGTATGCTGATGCCTTAAGAGTTCCCTTCAATGGAACTAAGGGGCCAAGCCCAACCCCTGAAAAACAAAGCCACACCATAATAATCCTCCACCAAAACTTTACACTTGACAAAATGCAGTCAGGCAAGTACCGTTCTCCTGGCAACCAGCAAATCCAGACATGTCCTTCTCTGATTGCCAGACAGATAAGCATGATTCATCAATCCAGAGAACACGTCTCCACTGCTCTAGAGTCCAGTGGCAGCGTGCTTTATACCACAACATCCGATGCTCTGCATTGCACTTGGTGATGTAAGGCTTGGATGCAGCTTCTCGACCATGGAAACCCACTCCATGAAGCTCTCTACACACTGTTGTTGTGCTAATCTGGAGGCCACTTGAAGTTTGGAGCTCTTTAGCTACTGACTCTGCAGACAATTGGTGACTTCTGCACACTATGTGCTTCGCATTCGCTGACCTTGCTCTGTCATTTTACGTGGCCTACCACATTGTGGCTGAGTTGCTGTTGTTCCCAGTTGCTTCCACTTTGTTATAATACCACTAACAGTTGACCATGAAATATTTAGTAGCAAGGAAATTTCACGGATAGACTTATTGCACAGGTGGCAGCCTATCACGGTACCACGCTTGAATTCACTGAGCTCCTGAGAATGACCCATTCTTTCACAAATGTTTGTAGAAGCAGTCTGCATGCCTAGGTGCTTGATTTTATACACCTGTGGCTATAGAGGTGATTGGAACACCTGAATCCAATGATTTGGAGGGGTGTCCCAATACTTTTGGCAATATAATGTACATCACTGCTACTGGCAAAAATCAAAATGAGCTGCTATAGCAACAGCAGCATCAGTAAGTGCTTTTTGTAAACTTTTTATTTATGTGAGCAGTGTCACGTACCTTACTTGTCAGCCTGATGGCAGAGGAAGGCCTCTCGTACAGCTCTGGCTTGAGGGCCACTGAAGGTGGAACAGCAACCACAAGAGCATGGCGGTGTATGAGTTCCTGGTCAGTCCTGTAGTCTGTGCAGGAATTGTTGGCACTTCGCTGGCAGATAGGATCGCTGGACTGGCTGGCAGCAGAGCAGGCTGGTAGCAGGCAGACAGCACGGCGGGGCTGGCTGGTAGCAGAGCAGGCAGGCAGTGGATCAGGCTGGTAGCAGGCAGACATCACAGCTGGACTGGCTGGTGGCAGAGCAGGCAGGCAGTGGAACAGGCTGGTAGCAGACTGTATGCAGGGTCAGACAAGCCAGGTTGGTAACAGATAAGCAGATCAGGCACAAACGGCAGGCAGAAGAATGGTCGGGTCACAAGCCAAGGTCAGTGATGGTGGGAGCAGATCAAGCAGAGACAGAAGGCAGGGGCGGAGTCCAAGAAGCAAGCCAGGGTCAAACACAGGTATCACTCACAGGAACACGCAGAGGAATACAGGTGGAGCTGAAGATCAGACAGCACAGGCTAATAGTGCTGCTAGGTTTAAATAGTCTGATTGGCGCCAACATTAGCAACGGGCAGCCGCGTGTGCAAACGCAAATGTGCACGACAATGCACTGCAGAACAGTCCCTCGCACATCTGCGCCTATGCTGGTGTACAAGCCCAGAGACCTCAGCTGCATTATGGTGAGCATCTTCCTGACAAGAAGTTTGAAAAGACTTTTTTGATGACAGTGTCTCTTTAATACCATGATAAAGAAGAGAGTAATTTTAGAGTTACACTTAGTGAATATACCCGCTGCCTTCATGATGCATTTTACAAGTAAAATGTTATCCCACATGATTTATTAGATGTTCTCGAGTCCCACAGAACAGTCCATGCTGACAGCCAGGATAAAAGGCTCTACCACCAGACTGATGGATCATCCAGGCAGGTGAACATTTTCATCCTACACCTTTTAAACAGGATGAATGATTTTTAGTGAACCGTTGCACTGGCAAGTGATTAGCTGCTGGGAAAGACTGTAATAGACTCTAGAAAAGCTGTAGGAAGATGGTGCCCAGGTGTAGGCATGACTCAGACGATCCAACACTCCATATATGCTGCAAAGCAATTTGCATAGTATCTCTTCTACAAAATAGAATCTGCCATGTGTTATGCAAGGCAAGCAATCGGCTATGTATTTCGTGAAAAAGCCATTAACACAGCATGTGACAGGTCCTCTTTATTCTGTATCAGTATCAGAAAATATATACAGGAAGTGATTGAAGATTTCTCCAACAGGGACACAGAAAAAAACATTTGTGGACTGCTTCCCTCTTTTCATGTACTTGTGTAACAGGAAGTGATAATTTCTCTAGTGGGGTCATAGAGAGATAAAAAAATTCAATACAAAATTAAAATCTCACTCTCTCCATCAAAAAAAATCTGGAGTTAGGCTTTAGGGTTAATATTGCTAATATTGTAACAAACTTAATAAGTCAAGTTTCTAACCTGAGATCCAAAGGTTTAAGATCTAAGTTGCTGGCTATGTACAGGCCATGTACATAGCTTCCATCAAGCAGAGTTTGGAAGCCAACATCCAACCCTGAAATTATACATCAGAGTATTTGGAACTATGCCTCTGGTGGGAAGGCAGTGTCCTCGTGCACATGGCACCTATGTGCCACCTGCAGCAAGAATCTGAAGAATTGCTGAAATTGAATTCACAGAAGGATTCAGATAGTCACAGTCAATCAGTTGATACAGAGCAATGAGAGGCCTGCAGCTGTCCACTGATGCATATTACCGAACTTTCCTTTGTTACTAAACTATCCCAATATAAATAAATTCATACATCAATAAGTATTAAGTAAATCACAAAATGCTCAATGATAAGTGTCCCAAAAATAAATATCCCAAATAATAAATGTCCAAAACGTCTCTAAATAATAATTGTCTTTTCCACCTCCAAACCAAATAATGTCTTTAAGATGATCCAAACGAAACTTATCCAGAATCTTTGTGTACCTCAAAAAATATAAACTTAAGATAGAGTATTACCTTTTATATAAAACGATAAAGTGCCATAAATCGTGTATCATGCATTTTTTTTTCCTTCCACGTGTGATTTGAGTGCACTTGTTATGCGGTTTGCATGATACACGATTTATGGCATTTTATCGTTTTATATAAAAGGTAATACATTTTCTTAAGTTTATATTTTTTGAGGTAAACAAAGATTCTGGATAAGTTTCGTTGGGATCATCTCAAGAAAGATATTATTTGGTTTGGAGGTGGAAAAGACAATTATTATTTAGAGACTTTTTGGACATTTATTATTTGGGATATTTAATTTTGGGATTTATTTAATACTTATTGATGTATGAATTTATTTAAATTGGGATAGTTTAGTAACAAAGGAAAGTTTGATAATATGTATGTTGACTTTCAAGGGTGAAAGTCTTTGACTTTTCTTTCTGGGTGTGTTTTTATATTGGCAGAGGTGGTATTGTGCAGAGTTTATACTGTCCACTAATACAATCACACATGGACAGATGTTGGCCCTAGATGCAAGCTGTTTGCATCCTGGGTTGATCATCTGTCTCTAACCGCAGGTAATCACTCTGTATGCAATTACAGCCGAACACCTGCATACAAGTGTGGCAGCTCTCTGTCATTTTTTTGTACTGGCTGAATGGCCACAACTATCCACCAGTAGTCGGAATACAATAGTTGGCACAGATGGACACCAATGTTTTACATATTTTACTATAAATGGTCAAGGAGTCTTCTAATAACAAGTGATGATGATTATTTAGTGCTCCAGCCAATGCCACTGGACTTTTAAAACATATGTAGCATTTCTTTTATGTTCATAAACAGCAAGAGGATTCTTAACCACACAAAAAGTCAATGAACCATCATCAATCTCACAGATTTTCATTTTTATATTAACCCCTGTAAGGCCTAATTATGGGTATCTGTGGTTTTGTAATACATCCTTAGGACTGTTCTCCACATTCAGTTGTGTCAGATATGAGAAAGGATAAAACAGAATTGCATTTTGTTAAAACGCACAATCAACCAATCAGTAAATTAGGAGATATAAGAGCTAAAGTTATTCCCAACTTTCCATGTAACAGTTAAACTTGGCCCTGCCTCTTCCTGTCTTGCTGTTGGCCCTTTAACATGCACAGTTGTTTCACTGACCAATAGGTAGACTTGCCAGGAGGAAGTAGCAATTTTGATATCAACCTTTACAGGAAAAGTCAAGATTTTCAACTAACTTCAGCTCTGCATATATCTTAATTTATTGATTGTTCTCACAAATAGTTACTTCAGTTTATGAATTTTTCACATGTGCTTAATTCTATTACCAAAGCTTGTAGCAGGATTACTTTAAGAAAATATTTCAACTCAAACTGTACCATGCAGACATATATTGTCAAAAAAAAGGTATAGCTTTACCTGTGGTGTGTCCCAAGTTATCATTAGAGTGCTGAGTGAGGTCAATTGTTCTGTCTATTTGGAACATTTTTAAGTCTTCTTCGTCTAAGGCAATGTCTCCCCAAAAGACAGCTAAAAAAAAAGATAAAAAGAAAGATTAGGAACAATAACTGTGTGCGCTCTTCAGTTTATTAAAAAAATAAATATTTCTCAAATCTATGAGAACAACATTCCATCACATTAGCAAAGGCCACTGACTGTAGTATTTCGGACTGATAATCATATACTGACATGGTCAGATATATCCATTCGTAAATATGTGACATACATTCCTGGCATTCTCTGAGAATGTTCACATGCTTGAAACGTAATTAAACGTTCACAAAAGATATTTACAGCAGGCATGTAACATAGCAATGCCCTTTCGGTTACAAATATGACGCAGCCATTTCTGTCACAATACTTGGTAAAATACATTTTGCTTCTTAATATTATTATTATTATTATTATTATTATTATTAAGAATTTGATTTACAGTTGCCATATATATGCATTTATTCAAAAGATCTGTAACATCAAAAACGAAATGTCTGTGTAGCTGACTGCAACACATTTGAGGTTTCCTATATACATTGTTGTGAAAAGAGTAATATTTATTTACAAATAATCTAATGCTTTTTTGTAATGATATTGTAAAGTACTGTGCAAATAATTGTATAGCTAAAAACACCCGATAAATAAATCAAATCATAATGTTTTGCTAAGAGCATTACATATAAAGAGTTAAGCAATAAGTTGGTGACCAATAAAATAATTGCAAAACAATGTAAAAAAATAATAATAATAATAATTACAAGACAAACAATTAGGAAAAATACAAAAAAAGATTACTGAAGCAAGCAGAATATAATGTGTTGTCAAAAAATTAGGATACTGTTCTTTTGATGGTGATGCAGGGTGCTATTAGCTGACCATAATCTGGATCTCACTCACATCAAGCTGACAGGTGTACAACTACCAAGCAGAGTTCTTGAGGGTGTGCCTGCATGGCTTCCATCAACAACATCTAATAACCAAAGACAGATGCTTGACAGGCATGGTCACTACAAGGTGAACTGCATCCACACAGTTTACTTGTTTTAAATCACTAAACAATTATGTTGTAAACGTAGTAAAACCTATTGCCACATTACATTACTTTTAGACATGCAAATTAATTTGTAAAACTAAATCTTGAAAAAAAAATTAAGAAAAACAGGTTACTTATTAACAATCACCCATGTGTTAAAATTGGGATTGAAATTCTCATATGAAGGAATTAGCACTATAAAACCTCGCTGGCAAAACCAGGCCAATTGTCTCAGTGTGTAGCAGTAAGTAAAGGGTTGCTTAGGAAAATCAAACTATCAAAATATATAAATATATTAAAAGCATAAAAAGGAAGTTTACAGTATAAGTATTTTATTGCCAATGCAGAACAAAGGGAGCCAGTCAGAAGAGATCACGACCTGTCCTATGTGTGAAATAGGCTGCAAAGGAGAGATTTCAGCAATGACCCTATATTCAGCAGAACATACTGCTGGTAAAGGGGGAAACAGTAAGGCATGGTATAGTACTAAACACTAAAGTTATGTTTTTACACATCTCTATTTCAGCAGAAAAATTGCCTTTAAAAACAATAGTTATGTATTTGAGCTGTCCAACCCTTGAGAGGTAAACATGACATGCTGTGTAACTATAGAAGGTGAGCTAAGTAGAACGCATGCAATACTTGAGGGATTTTAATATTTTTTTATATGCTTGTGAAATTAAACAGCTTGATATAATAAAAGTATATACTAAAGATTTAAAATTGATGTCTCAAAAAAATATAATTTTTAATAAATTATGCATGTGGAGGCAGCCATAGTAGTTAATTTCATATGGAGGTTATCTCTACATCAGCTAGCCATACACGGCTTGAACTTCAGATAGAATTCAGAATTAACCAAAATACGAGCTCCAGGTGGCCCTGTTGGCATCACCTGGTTCAAGAAATATTTTCAAATTGACTCAGCTGGATGTAAGATTCTCAGAATTCAATTAGATGCAGTCACTTTTTGGGTATTAAAGCAACCACTGTGCTGCTGCTACCTGAATAAAATAGCTGGCAGCAGAAATTCTGCCATCCACTCTCCTCTTCTACTATCTCTTTCCTGTCTTCTATATTTGTTCCAAAAGTATAAGGTTCATAACATCTCTAATTATTCAACATTATGAATAAACCCTTTGAAGATTTTGTGGACAGTGCCGTATTTTCATAGAAAAAGAGAACAAATGGTCTTTTCCCGAAATGTCACAAAATCTTGGAAAAAGAACATTCATTCCTTTTTTTTCTACATGGATTTTGCAGTTTACCTATGGGAGTTCCCTGGGAAGACAGTGGTGACATATCCTTCCCAGTAGGCAGCTGTGAGACCCTGACTACTTTCCAGTGCCAATACAAAACCAGGAAGTTGGATCACAAAAATAAAAAAAATAACTTTTATTAAAAATAGCAAAATTTACACTTGACCGATATGAATAATATAGTAAAGGTTAACATTACGCATTATAGTTACTGAATGTCTTTTTAGAAACAACTATCTAACCTAGACGGTCAGCCTTTCTCCAGTGCTTCACCAACAACGGAGTGCATGTGCAGCTGAAAACAGGCACTTCCTGGTACCATTGTCGGTGTCTGTGCAAGCAGCAGAGCAAAGGCCTGGTCATCCCCACCTCCTCCCCGCTTAGCACTGCCTCTGCCATGTTCAACCCCACCACAGTCAAGCCCAGCCCTGCCCCGTCTATGATGCCATATGTATTCTAATGAATGAGGATAAAAAAGCATCCTCACTCATGAGAGTGTTCTAACAAGAGGAAGGAAACACACCCACCACCCGCCCTACCTGTATGAATGGAGAAGCATTGTGGTTCCGAGACTGCAATGAATTATAATGAAAACAGTCGCAAACATCAGATTTAAACAAACTTACACATAGGGATGGACTTACATTGTTTACCTGATTGTGGGGAGTTATTTCAACACAGGCCTTTTCTTTTATTTGACGTTGTTTAGGGATTAGCATGCAGAGATGCAAGCATGGGAGATTTATGTGTTTGGGATCTACTTAAAAGGTCTGCTTTAGGTGAAGTTAGTTTAAACATAGGAACCCTTTGATTCATTCAAAATGCCACATTCTCTAATTCACAATACATTTTATTACTTAAAGCGGAGCTCCACCCAAAAGGAAAAGTTCCGCTTTAAGGACTGCTCCCCTGCTCCCCTGCTCCCCATTAAGGATTGGTACCTTTGGAGGGCCGGGGGAGCAGGTATCCAAATTTGACAGGTACCTGCTCCCATTTCCGGTCCAGTCGCCTAGGCAATCAGAAACAGAAGGTGTCCTCCTCCCTCCCTCCCTTCCTGTAGTCTTTTGGGACACGTGACAGGTCCCATAAGTGACATAAGACTACAGGACCATTAATGAAGCGCAGCGCTACTCGCGCATGCGCAGTGGGTACCTGGCTGTGTAGCCTCAAGCTACAGTGCCCACACTGAAGATGCCGGCCTCCTGGAATCCAGAACGGCTGGTGAAATGGGCTGCAGGGGACACACCATGGTACCGAGGGACAGGTAAGTGGCTGTTTTTTAAAAGTCAGTAGCTAAAGCTTTTGTAGCTGCTTTTATTTTTGGTAGGTGAGTGGAACTCCACTTTAAAATTATCCTAAGGACCTTTAAGAAAAAGCAGATATCAGTAGAGGTATGAAAGTGGATATAAAAGGTACAAAACTAAATTCAAACATCATCAAACACTGCACTATGGTTGTTGTTAAGATCATAAAAGGAATAATGGCAATAATTAATACAAAGGAGACCACAGGCACGCAATAAAAAGCCCCAGGGCACAGGTCCTGGGTGCTAAGGGTTCAGCAACCTCTTTCATCACCAATACACACCCTTTGTTCAGCAATCTCTCTATTACTGTTTGTTAAGAATCAAGAGTCAAGAGTGAGTGAGGATCAAAGCAAACATTTTATTAAACCACAAAATGCCCTGCAACAAATAGTTTCCCAAAGCTCTCATGTGCAATAATTCACGGGGATATTGTTGTTGCAACATTGCCACAAAAGCAAATAAAAATAATAAGCATGTAATACTCTAAAACCAGCATGCATATTTAAATTTACATTAACAGTAATTAACTGAACAAGTAAATTTCACTTATAAAAGGAGAAGTTCAGATCAAGGAATTTTCTTCTAATAATGAAAAAATAAGCATTTTGTTATTTTATCCCCTGGTAAAAAATTTGAAAATTAACTACCATAAATCCCCCAGTACATGGCAATCAACCAGTCAAAGCAATAGGATTTTCTGGCATTAATCCCTCTTGTTAACGTATTGCGCCAAATTTATGTGTGACACTTTTGGTTCTGACTAAGACTTGTGCTCCAAATTCAGGTAGTTTTACAATGTGCTGCTTTTACATTGTGGCGCAATGAATGCACCATATTCAAAATAAAATACCGACACGTCGCATCTTATAAAAGTGGAGCTAATTAAGACCAACTCTATTTTGGAGTACTGGCAGAAACTGGCACAGATAGATTTTGCAAACGTGTCTTGCGTGCATTTAAACGTGTTACAGCACGTGCCAATTCAAAATACAAGTTTTTTTTTCAAGTACTAAAAGCCACCGATAGTAATCATTGTGTTCTGCCAATCGTGAAGGATTCCCCCATCAGCACAGTCAGTATCGATAGGGGAATCCCCCGGCGGAGAGCCTTTCCTATTCACAGAACACAATGATTACTGCCGGCAGCTTTTAGCACATGAAAAGCATGAAGTAATTTTCTTTCCTTCTACCTGTGGTGGAAGGAAAGAAAATTGCATAATCTATGGCCTGCTTACGAATTAACTGTCTCTAGAAGAAGATAAATATTACAAAAATTACATTTTATGTATTGTTGGGCTGCTGAAGAGCTTATTTTTATTTCTTCTCCTTTTACTTCGTTTTTTCAGAAATTTAATATGAATAATATGTATTGTAATGGATGTTACTGCCAATTCTCAAGTCCCTACAGAAGACTAAAACAAATATATGTGTATATATACAG